CTTAAAAGTTTTATAATGAGTTTGGATTCGGGAGCTTTGAAGAAGAACAGAAGGGGAAATATCTCATTTCTTTTATTTGGATTATTTTCGCTCCTCTGCCCTTTTTTTTTTTTTTTAACAATGAAAAATTTGAGAGAATATGGGAATTGTATGTTATAAGATAAGTATCATACTTACGTATTAAACTTTAATACATCAAAATCAACAGAAGTATTTTATTACACTTAACTTTAGAGGTCTAATAACATTAATTATTAATTAACTGCACTTTTTTCTCTTCTTTACACGGATTTCAAACTCGTAATTTGTCAAAATGTTTATATCTCTGCTTTTCGATCTTTAAATTGGGAGGGGATTGAGACAAATTTGGTTTGTGAATTTATTTTTTACTTTTAAATAAATATATAAATATAAATATTTTATGTTAAAAAAAATAAATATAAATATTTTATTTTAAATATTTATTTAAATAATAAATGTAATAATTATTTTTTAAAAATTATTTAATTAAATAACAATATTACCTTTCGACGTGACTTCTATTTATCCAAACTTGATTAATGTCATTCCTAAAAAGAAAAAATAATTAATGTCATTTCCACCTTCTCCTTCATTTCTAGCTGTTTTTTATTGACTTTTGTTAGATGCTTAACTCTTTTTTTTTTTTTTACACAAGAGCAATAATTAAAGATTAATAAGATTAAAATTATTAATAAAAAAATTAAATTTAAATAAAAGTACAATCTATTGAGTGCCTTTTTAGCGGCAACGGACACAATCACAACCAAAAAATACAAAAAAAATTAAAAATTAAATCTCACACCCAAAATAAAATATTCTTTTAACCAACGGTTAAGTTGGGTACACGAGCTTATTAGATGCTTAACTCTTGTGCCTTTTTTTTCCACTTCAATTTAGTAGTCCTAGACTGTCGACCTAGCCCTAGTTGCCAAGATGTGGCCTGCGCAATAGGTGGCTAGAGTAGCCTTTCGGTGATCTTTTCAGTTGCTAGAAATTTATGGTAATGATTTTTATTACGAAGGATTTTTATGTTAATAATATAATTATTATATTTTTATTAATTTATATAAAAAATTTTAAAAATAAATTTTATAAATTTTATTTCACTAATGTATATAGATAATTTTAATTAAAAAATTTATAACATTAAAATTAATTTTTAGTTTATATATAAATTAATAAAAAAATAATAAATATACTTTTAACTTTTAAAATAAATTAGAAAATCTTATTACTAATACCATATTAAGGATAATTACTTACATGTGAAAGTCCTTTGGCCATAAAATCCTTTAATTGTCGATAACAAAATCCAAATAAAAGAAGACATTTATGTCAAAAGAAAATTTGGAGATGAGGAAAAACGAAAAAAAAAAGTAAGGAGCTGAATTCATTTTAGGTGGAACATCGCGACCATAGTTATTAACAATTGAAAATTGTACTCACAACAAACTAATTTTCATGGCTGATAAAAAAATGGAGACTACTAGGGTTCGAGAGAAGGATGCGGCGGCCAAAGAGGACAGCGACTTTTGACGGCGGCAAGGGCTCAGGAGGTGGATACCAGGGTTCAGTAATCAGTTGTCAGGACATGCTCGAACGTTCTTTTTCTACAATTTTCCTGAGAATTTGAGGGCAAAGGATCTGTGGTATGGTTTTCAAGGGTATGGAAAGGTTGTTGATGTATTTGTGCCGAACAAGAGAGATAAATGGGGGAAAAGATTTGGTTTTGTTCGTATGGTAGGGGTGTTGAATGAGTACATAATGGAGAAGAGGCTTAATGAGATTTGGTTTGGGTTTTATAAGTTACGGGTGAGGATCGCTGATCGCCCAGTGAAGCAGAGTTTGGGGCAAGCAAAGATGACAAGGAGCAACGCGAATAGATTGGTTCAACCTGGGCAGTCGTATGCACAGGCAGTTGTGGGGACCAATCAGAGGTATGTCAAGAAACAGGATAACGAAAAGGGAGTGCCTGAAAAGGAGAAAGGTAAGGTTCAGGTGGAGATGGTCCCAGTGCAGTCAGTACAGCTTGAAAAGAATGAGCAGGTTGGCTCAAGTGATACGTTGCAGGGGCAGACGGGGACGACGGGGAGTGTAGGGGATCAAGCTCAAGCGGCAACCATTGATTTCTCTCCGACGGAGGAGGAGATACATTGGCTGGAGGGGGGTATGGTGGCAGTATTAAAGTCATTAAGGTCAATTACGAGCATACAGGATACTGTTGATGTGGATGGAGGGTTGATTTCAGTAACACCATTAGGGGGCAGATCAGTGTTGTTAACTGAAAAAGTGAAAGGTCACCTGGGTGAGTTCATGGAGCAGAATAAAGAATTGTTCAACACATGGTTTGAATCCATAAGGCCATGGGCAATGGCATCTTCGCTGCGAAGTAGACTAGTTTGGTTGCGAGTTTCAGGCGTCCCGTTGAAAGTGTGGTGTGATAGGTGTTTTTCGTTGATCGGAGGAACAGTGGGTGACGTGGTGATGGTGCATGATGATACCAGAAATAGATTTTTTCTGTGTGAAGGAAGGGTTTTAGTTCTTTGTAGTGATGAATTCAAAATTGCTAAGACTGTACAATTGAAGATCGAGGGCCAGTCATATGAGGTGGGGGTTGTGGAGGAAGAATGGAGGTC